AAAACCCAAATGTCGAGTACACAATGTGTCAACTTTGTGAAAAAGAAAACATGCACTCCCTTGAACATTATATTGTAGAATGTCCCATATTGACTGACTTTTGCCCTCCTGTGCTAAGGTATGCTGGACTGTGTAATTACTATACGAGTACTGGAACACTTGATATATTGGACTTGTACCCAAGATTGACCATGTAATGTACCAATTATACAAGGTATGTATGTGATGTAACTATATAACCTGAGCTTGTAAAAGCACCTTAATCACCTTCAGTGATTAAGTGCTTAAATGCACACTAGTGTATGTATATGTATGTGTATAAAGTACATATGGAAGCTGATCAGAATTACATTTCACCTTTGTAAATGCACACTAATGACACTATGTAAAAGACACATCGAACACTTTATGTAGGGCATACGTAAATCTGTGTATCTATGTTTTTACGTATGTAGGTTAGCTTAGCATTTTAAAAACACCGAATCACCTTCTGTGGTTGATTGTTCAATAAACCCCTGAACTATATGTTTAACACATCTCTAACCCTGTCCACGGAGGATAGAAGAAAATGTATATATGCTGGTTAGCATTGTAAGTGTGTGGCCACGTCTGTGGTAGAAAAAAACAAAAAAATCTAGGGACAAGCGACCATGGGGAACGGATGGAAAACAAGACACATGCTCGTTCTGGAAGTCAGGACATTCAACAAGGATATGCATGACCGTAAGAGGGGACAATGCAATTTGGACAATAAGGAGCAGGGCGGCGCTCCATCAAGTGACCATGAGTTAAGCGTGTATGGCCAATACGCAACCTCGCCAGAGCCGTTTCCCATCGTCGGTTACAGTGGCAGAAGGACGGCCACGAGGACACACAACTCTTAAGAGTACACAGTTTGTTACCAGTAACAGATGACCCTGCCAACGGGTAAGGATGGAGGAATGGATAACAGAGTAAAAGTCGGAATAAGAAATACCTTTACGAGAGATGGGACAAGAGCGGACAGCTCCCTGGCGGCTGCATCTGCACGCTCATTTAAAGAGACACCAATATGGCTGGGAACCCAATGAAACTCAACCGACTTAAATTTACTGTGAACAAGAAACAGCCAATGCTGGATCTCGACAACCACTGGATGAACCGGATTAAAGGACCTAAAAGCCACGTGGACACCAAGAGAGTCAACAACTACAAAGGAAGATTGACAACGAGAAAGCAGGAGACGAAGAGCATAGAGGATAGCATAAAGCTCCGCTGTGAAGATGCTAGTCTCCAGAGGTAAGCGAAACATATAAGTGCAATCAGGAAAAACAACAGAGTAGCCTACACCGTCCGCAGACTTAGACCCATCGGTGAAGATGGAAACGGAGCAGGAGTGAGAAGAAAAGTGCTCAAGGAAAAGGCGTTTTAGAACCGTAGGAGGGGTAAAAGCTTTAGTGATGCGGGTTAAGGATGTACAAAACTGCGGAAGGGGGGACTCTTCACGGAGACAAAGAAGGAACAACACGAGTAGAAATATTAGAAATACGAACTGAAAGTGAATCCTGTAGGCAAGATAACTGGACAGAAAGAGGGTGGTGGTGAAGAGGAACAGGAACCGCAGGAGGGGTAAAAGTTAAAGCACAACAGAGGCGAGAAAAAGGATGTTGCAAGGACCGCGCAAGATAGCGAAGACAGTAGCAGTCACGACGGTCCTGGAGAGATAGGAAAGCCAGTGTCAACATACAAGCTGAGACGGGAGTCTAACGAAAGGCACCAGAACTGAGGCGTAACCCAGTAAGGTGCAAAGCATCAAGACAGCGAAGAGTAGGAGAAGCAGACGAGTAAGCAGGGCAACCATAATAGAGCTTAGACAGGACAAGAGACGAATGTAAAGTGAATAGTGCGCGCCTATCTGCTCCCCAAGAAGTATGGGACAATACCCCAAGGAGGGTAAGGGCCTTAGAGGATTCAACACAGAGGTAAGAGATATGGGGAGACTAAGACAAACAAGTGTCAAAGATCAAGCCAAAAAATTTAATATAACTTAGTTTACAGACATCACAATAACGTGATGCATCAAATGAACAAATCCACAAGGGCTGTGACGAGGATTCGAACCTACATCCGAGAGCATCCCAAACGATGCCTTAATCGACTGAGGTACAACATGGTCAAAAGAATTAAAATCAGAAGTTCTACTGAACTTACTTGGATCCTGCCGCCTCTCCGAGACACAAACCAGTGTTTTACACAATTCCCCCATGCACTCGAGCTACGTCAATAGGCCAGTCTACTTCTTCACCCTTGACCATGTAGCTCAAGTCGATTAAGGCATCGTCTGGGATGCTCTCTGACGTAGGTTCGAATCCTCGTCACGGCCCTTGTGGATTTGTTCATAACTTAGTTTTTTATTTTGTCTTGTTCTTCCGAGATTTGTTCCGAACATGTTCAATATTTGCAAGTTTCAAACCTTTACAAGCAGCACGTTGTACATCACGCAGAACATTTATGCACCTTATCATGATGAGTCTTACCCCAGTCCATTACTTATTAAAAAAGGAAACAAAAATAACATATCTTTGTATTTTGTATTTTCTACAAATATGTGCAAACACACTGTGAATTATCTACATAAAAGGTCTTCGAAACATTTCAGAGCTTTACAAATTATTTAAAAGTATCTGTAGGAACATTACATTTTATGGCTGTTGAAAAATAGCAACTGTTAAAAGTATACTGAATAAAAATTATCTTAAGTTTGTTAACAACGTAACAAGTCTTAAGTATGACTCGCGATGTTCTGATAACGCTCGATTCCAGCAACGACTTCATTTACTTAACACATAAAACCCTTATCCTGGCTAAGGTCAGATTTAATCAATCTTTGTTTTGATCGACAATTTCTCTGCTTTTTGCAAAAGCAAAAAGCAATCAACCAATCGTCCGGCAAACCAATCAACATCTCAGAACAGATCATGCTAGGGAATTACTGGCTCTAAATTCTTTAAATGACCAACTTCTCAATTTTTAATCAAGTGCTTCATGTACATCTTGAGGCAAATTCAAGACTGTGGAATGTTTTGAAATGCCTGAATTATGGAATGAATTGTGTTTTTTAAAACTTACAGTATGAACTACATATGACATTATACGTTTAATACTAACCTTGTGAGTTTGCACAAACCTACTGTTGGCACGTCTTGTAAAAATTAGTTTCTCTATTATCTTACATTATGTACATATTACACATTCTTCTGGAAGACAAGTGGGCTCTTTTTAAAACTTCACAAAAAATATGACAAATTACATCTGGGTTCTCACCATTGCTGAACACTCCCCTTGCTCTGCCAATGGGGAGGACAGGCAGCTAACAGTGGCAATTTTCAACCTCGATGCAGGTCCCTGATTAATAACATTCATGGGAGGAAGCTGAAGCTAGAAATAATAAATGGCAGAAAACTAAGTATGGCTTGATCATTAGTTATTAATGCTCAAAAAATCTTTGATTATTATGTAAATATTTTGAAATAGTGCAATTAAAATTGTATACAGGTAAGGTCTGTATTACATATCACAAATATTTTATTATTTATTAATAAATTACAAATATTATTTGTCTGTATTACAAATATCAGAAGAAAGCACTAAGCATATAGTGCTATATATATATATGCACCATATAGCACTTGGAAGGAATAAGAGGAAAAGGATTTAGGATTGGACGGAGGAGAGAAATGGTGTTCAACTGCCTGGACTGGACGGTAGTGACAGTCTCTCTCCTTGCAGGTCGGTGTTCATTCCCAGACTGTCCAAGTGGTTGAACGCCATTCCTTTCCTCCACCATATCCTAAATTCTTATCCTCTCATTCCTTCCAAAGTGCTATATAGTCGTAATGGCTTAGTGCGTTCTGATAACTGCCTTACCTGTATACTCAATTGTATAAGACAATTACAAGTAAAAGTATTTTAAAACCATAAACTTTTACAAGTGCTCCCACATCATCCATGAATGTAAGTGCTGTACATAATCTTACACTTAACTTAAACAAGAAGTATGGATGGATTATCATAAACTGCCAGTGCAAGAACTGCAGGGCAGACCCCACGTGACTTCCTTATGTTGACCTCGCGTGATTCTGTACAGCTTTAGGATATTAAAAAATAGTTGAATATGTCTAACATAATTAACAAAGAATAATAATATACAATGTATAGATTACACACAGTATTTCACTCACAGTTGGTCAATTCTTTTTTCATATACAACATAAGATCCCCCCCCCCCTTGAATACTCTGAAATTCGAATGCTAAAGCTTTCTGCAAGTGCAAATTTATTCAAGAATTTTCTAAATACTGCAGAGGTACAAGTAGTCAACAGTTATTGGACAATGTTTACAAACCAGAAATTCAGCCCTTTCCTTGCCTTTCCAAATGACCTGGCCTTGTCACACAACCACTTGCACTCATTCATTCAAAGTAATTTTAATGTTCTGTATATATACACACACTGAGAACACACAACAGTTGTGGTGTTCCCTTTGCACCTTCCTGGAACTGAATCCCAGATTCAAAGGCAATTTCTTGAAAAAAATAAAGTACACTATTTTTGCATTTATAACAATCCTTGTCGTGTGGCTTCTGTGCAACAATGAAGACCGTCTATAACATGAGGTTTGCGACACAGTATCAAAAACCACACCAAGAACACAACCTTTGACTTGTTATAATTTAAGACTGCACCATGGCACAATTATTTTTTGGTTCAGTACTTTTCTCTTAAGTATTACAGTTTCTTGTGCTTTGCAGTGCATAAGTTTGAACCACAATATATTTTGTGAAGTCACTGTGAACACTAATGTTTAATGCCTTGGCATCTTCCAGGTTGTCGTACCTTCTCTTATACAGCAGTATATCTGTTAACTGATGGTAATGACACTATACTGCTTGCTTATGCACCTAGAAGTATTTAATGAACATTTTACAAACAAATTTCTCTCGGTCACACAACTTTAACGTTTCTTTTACTCTTCCTGTTCACTCACCGCATCTCATCACAGAATCTGATGAGTGGTGCGTCTCCATGAGTTACGAGATTGAGGTCACGGTTTTCCACTTGGACAGAATCAATGCAACCATGGAAGCCTTGATAGTAGGCATGAGGCAAGCCATCCGGCATTTTAGAGGATCCACCTGAAAAATCAAGACAAATACTGAGTTCAGAGTTCTCCAAAAGTCACAGACTGTGTTCCCCAACAATAGAGAACAGAGAACAAACAAATGATGAAGGCACTTAATTGAACAATGAAATTTACAAGTGGAATAAAATTACCGCCAACTCTGTAAACACAATCATTATCCTCCTGTATAGCCAAGCATCTTGGGAGCATTTAACTCATAATAAAATTGGGAAAGTCTATTTACCAATCCAGAGTTTGCCATTTGTGTTAAGAGTGGTGGCCCCCCGTTCAGCTATGCCTTTGACTGGCCGTTCATTATCCACTCTGAGAACTCCAAGACGCTTCCGTCTATGGACTACTAGTGTGTGCCACTGACCATCATCCACTCTAATCTAAGAGATAAAAAGCACCATAAAGTTTGGATAACATACATGGAAATACTGTAGGCATAAAACTACAAAATATTTGACATTAACACATGTAGTTGGTGTTTAATAGCTCATCACATTTGAGATAAGATTTTGATGGTTAATCAGTATCTTAAATGTCAGTTTCAACCTAACCTTTGGTAGTCAAATTGAACATGTCCTTTAGCAAAAAAATAATAATCTTTCACCTTGGATTTAATGATGAGCATAGACTGCTGTGTGCCCAAGTTGAAGGAGAGCTCAACAAAGCCACCATTAATTGCGAGGGAGAGGTAGTCCTTGGAGACGCTGGTGCCTTTGTTCAGCCACACAAGGACTCCATTTGGGGCTGTTGCACGGAACCTGATCTCAAAGTGGTTGGTAGTTTGCCCACGTTTACTGTTGCAATAAAGACAAAAAATGTATGACAACTATAAATGAAAATGTTAAATAAAGCTATAATTTAAAAAAACATTTGCTTAAATCATGCAAATAAAACATGCTTTTAATAGTGTATAATAAAAAACTTGTGTGTTTTCAATATATTTTGTTCTATTTTGTGGTTATTAACTTTCAAGTTACAAAAAAAAAAAAAAAAAATAATACATGTTTTCATAAATAAACTATATAAATTAGTTTGGTTGAAACGTGGTCAGATAAGTTAATTCACAAATGCCCCTGATGACCCTATACAAACTCAAAATGGTAATACAGTACTGTACTATATACTGTACCAGTTAAAAATGTGCATTACTTAAGTGTCACTAATTGCTCTCCCAAATCCCTAAAAATAATTTCAAGAAATTAAAATGCTTACACACAAATAACAAGCCAGATAAACTGTACACACTGGACAGAAGCAAAACATTCTGGCATCGTCGAAATTAGTCATACATGGAGCGGAAACAGTGTCTTGAATGATCGATTCCACCATTTAGGAAAGATAAATCAACAAGAGTAGAAAGTGTGATATTGCACATTAAGAGAAGACCTAATAGTAACAATGTAGAACTGAAAATGGGACATTCCAAATCTGTTTGGTGTAATCAAATGCATCTGGTAATGTGGGTGTGCTACAGAGCAGATTTAGAATCGGCAAAGGAAGTTTCAAACCTGTATCAAATTATAAATAGTCCTCCCATGTTAAAGATTTTAACAATGAGACCACTTAAATCTGTCATCACAATACAAATGAGAATTTCTCACCTGTACACAAGATTTATTTATCCTTTATCTTGCAAGTTCAACTAAAAAATGACAGCATTTTGAATCTGGTCCACATAACAGAAGTTATGTACTACCAAAGAGTGAAAACTTATGGAACATAACCAGAGGGAAAATACTAAACCATCATGGGAAAACTTAATTAAATTGTTATATGTATGTGTGCAAATATGTGCCTAAAATATCAAAGATTAATACATGCAGTAATGGCAATAACAAGATCACCCCCCCCCTCCCCCGAGAAATATGCTGCGTGGTTATTACTGGTATATTCCTTGGCACTGGTAACCTATATTGGTGCTTTAACTACAGTCACTTGGGAAAAATCGAGGCTGAAAAGACCAAAACATAACCCGCACACAATATTCTCAAAAAATCATTCTCCTTTGTCCAAATAAGAAGCCACAGAAAGACAAGTCACCATAAGACCTCTGAAATATTAAAACAAGCAATGAGAGAGATGGCGAGTGGGAGGAGAGCATTAAAAGAAAACAGAGGGGGCGGGTGTCACTCGAACTCTAGAAAACCTTATACGTATACCACCATGAATACAGAAGGTTATCGAGCGTTAGAAATACAGTACTGTACATTGTACGTTCCCCCTATTAGCTTCTGCATTCAAGACTGGAGATAACACTTGCCAAGAGATCTGTACAAAATGCAACTCGGTGTGATGAAAATCACCTCAAAACAGAACTACATCTCATACCAGTACAAGTTAAAGGCTACAGGACTGACAACTCTTCAACCAAGTCATTAATGTTATTAATTTAAACAAGTTTAATAACTTGCACTCTGACAATTAAGTAGCTGAAGTCATTGAAAGGTACAGTCTCACAACATTTGTAGATTCAAAAGCTTAACAGACCATAAATGGGCCTAGAATGTCAAATAAGAAATACTGTACGTATATGAGCCTCTGCACTGTGCAAAAAATAATGGCTCTGAATTTTTTTTTTTTTAATTTAACATTGTTAATTGGCATCTAGGAAACACAAAAATCCAAGTTAAAAGTCTCTACTTGTGGTTTAGTTGTAGTGGCACAGAGGCATTTTTGGGCAAAAATTAAATGAGGTGCTACACGGGAATTACATTGTCGATTTATTTTCATTATTTGCCTAATTAGTTTTTTGTTGTAACAAGTTGCACTGATGTGTCAAAGGTGATGCTCAATAAATATACTAATATACTCATTCATACTAATAAACTACAGAGGAACCTCGAGTAACGAACGTCCCTCTTTATGAATTTTACGGGTTACGAACTCAATTTTTTCATTAAATTTGAATCGGTTTACAAGCTTTGGGAGTTTGTTGATACACATATGGGTCAACCGAGCACGTGGTTCCTGGTGGCATGGGCGAGGGGCGCTTCAGTTTACCAGTGTCTCCCCCCCCCCTAGTGACGATCACACTTGAATATTGTATCTGGGAGGACAACAGGAGGGATGGTTGGAGGGACTGGATGGATGGAGGGATGGTTGGAGGGATGGTGAGGGGGGACTGGATGGATGGTGAGGGGGGGACGGGATGGATAGTAAGGGGGGGACGGGATGGATGGTAAGGGGGGGACGGGATGGATGGTGAGGGAGGGACTGGATGGATGGTGAGGGGAAGACGGATGGATGGATGGTGAGGGGGGGACTGGATGGATGGTGAGGGGGGGACTGGATGGATAGATGGTGAGGGGGGGACTGGATGGATGGATGGTGAGGGGGGACTGGATGGATGGATGGCGAGGGGGGGGGGGAACTGGATGGCAGGTGAGTGGAATGGGAAGGCTGGTGTGGGGGGGGGGGGGAATCTTTTAGAAACACCAGCCCTAGAATCATATAAGGGAACAACGCTTGGAGGATGTGTGGGTGGACAGATGACGAGAGGATTTTTTTGTTTCCCTAAGATTGGAAAGGAATGGTTACTGAAGATATGAGGAAGCAAGAGTGAGACCCATTTATGCATGGGAGTTTAAAATTTTATGATAGGCCTAAAAAAACGATGCTGATTATAATGCACAGTGCAGGGCGTTAAATTCACAGCCTCATATCCTGACGTTCTTTATGGTTTGCTAGGTCATATGAAAACAAATCTGTCAGCTTCCAGTTAAATACGATTATCTCCCATGTCAAAACCTAATGCCATTTTCCTGAAACCTCTTCTGAATTTTTAAGACACTTTGAAAGCTTGAGACACAAGTTGAAGGATTCTGCCTACCATTTTGGTTATCCAATGTTTGCAGTGGCAGCAATTTCCTCACCACACAATGGAAAATTAGTACTGCATATTGTTCATAAAATGAACATGTTGCCATATAATAGACCTAAATGGCCCATAAGATATATAAAATGCATAAAAAACAATAAAATATTGAGTATAGGAGATTAAAAACAACAGAAATAACTGATGGTGGTGTTGAATTGAAGAGTTACTAGACCTTCAGGTCTGCAGTATGAATATGAATAAAGAAACCAGACCATGAATAACTATCTTCACTGGCAACCTAAGCAGCCTGACCACTATATATAATAAAATAATATGCAAACTTGTCCTATCAAACAAGAAGCATGAGCATGCTCACGATAAAAGGAGTGCTACAGAAAAACTCTATCATGCGGTTAGTACAAGCTTCTCACCCTCCCAGATCCTCCCCCTCTGTTTCTTGGTCTGTTCTATTGTCTTGTATAAGGTTGTTTTCATGCTTGCTGGCATCCTTTTGCATTGTCGCCAAGGCACTATAGTATTCCTGCTCCTCCAACAAAGCTTCTTCGTCATCATACAGGGAGAACAGGCCAGAACCCTCTTCAAGTTCCTCAACTTCCTCACCCAAGGAGACCATTTCTTCTTCCTTCTTTTTTTCCAACAACTCCATTTCTTCTGCCTTCTCTTCATCTTCGTAGTCTTCCTCTTCTAAAAACGCTATGTCATCTTCAAGATCATATTCAGTTGGGTAACTGAGGTCAACATCTGTCCAGGGCTCCGGAAAATCGTAGACATCATAGTCTTCGGCAGTGAGGTTGTAATGGGTGAGGTTGCTGTAGCGGGACCCAACACCGCAGGATGCAAGGGAGGAGTTAGTGGAAGTCAGCAATGAAGAATTGTGTAGTAGTAGTTGTAGTATTGGTATAATAGAAAGAAGAAGGTAGAAGGTAATAGAGGTAGTAGAAGAAGAGAAAGGATAAACAGAGAAAGGAAGCGATGAAAGTTATATTAGTTTATTAGTAAAGCAGTAAGGTTCAATATTTCTAATACATAAGCAAGATTATGAGCAAATATATTAAGGTATTCAACGACAGCATTCACTTAGTTCAGGAGATTATTCTGGAAAAAAAAGGACGCATACCCTAAGTAGCACACAGCCCTAAGAAATAACTCCATGCATAGAAATATCTACAGGTTGCTATTACTGTATAACGTAAAATAAAAGCCCTGCTCATATTTCCACCACCCATATGACACTACAGTAATTAATCTACTGTCCAACAGCTCTATATGACATATCTCCAGCACTTTTTAAGTACACAGAATGAGAGCAAGGAACTTTCACAAATAACATTCAGTTAAAAAGAAACTAATTTGTAATTACAGAACTGGACTCAGATTAACAGATTTTCCTAACATCACACTTGATGTTTTGAAGGAATAGGCATAAACTTTGTCATTAAAATAGTTTGGCTAAATACCTTATGATTTACATATAGTACCATAATTTTGTTTACATTCTGGTACTATTAAATTGTTGCTTATCTAGAAGGCCCCACAAAATTCTGATAACCAAACATAAGCTCATACTAAGCTAATGCCAACCTCAGAGGTGACTGGTAGCAAATTGGATAAACTATTTATCAGGCAAAAGGGATCTCTTGACAACCATACAAAAGGTAATTTTAACCAAATGATCCTAGGTACTTTATTTTAGAAGTTAGCTATGAGGAGACTTATCAGCAACAAGGTATCTCCTGCAGGGTAACGAACATCCACTAAACCAGCCATGTACCAGCTCATCACACAAGAAACTAAATCAAGGATATCGAGGATACTCTCAGCCGTATGGAAGCCCCTTCATATTCCAGTGAAAGCTAATGCTAGCCATAACAATGTGCCTCTAGCTAAGTCAAAGATAATATCAGGCAAAGTGCATATTTGGTACTCTAATGAATACACCCAAAAATGAAAAAGTTAATTAAAAATGTTAAAAAGCAGTATGTTATATATATTTATATTATAGAAATTTCTTATTTGTGACTACAACCACAAATTTTCAATCACTTACATTCTGTACACCATGTTGGGGAACTTGAGGAATGTGCTGCCATCGAACTTGATAGGCTTCATCATCTGCTCCTCGTTAACACCTAAAAGAGTAAGGAGAGAATTTTTGCATTTATGTATTTAATACAAATCTGTGTTAACAGGGAATGCACTTCAGCTCCTCTAACAATCGGGTGAAAGGCGAGATACAAACAAATCCTATGCATTTTGTTGTAATGTATTTATTTACATTACATATACAGGTACTGTACAAGCTGTCATACCTAATAGCCCAAGTTGCCTAACAAGGCTGAGTTTTCTTGAAATTATACATATATTTTTCACTTTTTTCTTATGGAATGGTAAAGCTTTCTATTACGTATGATTATTATTTTAGTTTGATTTAAACTAACACAGAAATTTGATAAACCTAACCAAGTTAACATAGCTAAGGCAGTAATTATGTTTATAATATAATAATAATTGGAATACAGTACAACAATTTGAAAAACAAATACAGTATTTGAAAATTGCAAAAACTATTCTGCTTTTTAGGCAAATCAGTCCTTACATAGTGCAGTTCTAGCTATTAGGTACAATATTATACTGTATGTACTCAGTTGTGCTTGTAGGGGTTGAGCTTTGGCTCTCTGGTCCTGCCTCTCAACTGTAAATCAACCGGTGTACAGATTCCTGAGCTTATTGGGCTCTAACATACCTACCTTGAGTAGCTTCCATGGGATCAACAACCTCCCAGTTGGTCATCTGGTCAACCAGGCTGTTGGACATGGCTGCTCACAGCCTGATGTATGAATCACAGCCTGGGTGATCTGGTATTCTTTGGAGGCGTTTGTCGAGTTCTCTTGAACACAGAGAGGCTGGCCAGTTATGCTTCTTATGTGTAGCGGGAAAATGTTGAAAAGTCTTGGTCCTTGATGTTGATAAGAGTTCTCCCTCAGCGTACCTATTGCACCTCTGCTTTTCAACATGATTTTTTCTGCACATCCTGCCATGTCTACTTGTCTCATGTGATGTTATTTCTAATGATGATATTATCATATCTACATTTGAAACTGTGTGTAGTCTGCCTCCACCACATCACTGCTTAATGCATTCCTTTTGTTAACTACCCTTACACTAAAATTCTAATGTCTCTGTGGCTCATTTGGGTACTGTACTCGGTTTCCACTTGTGTTCCCTTTGTCATGTTTCACCCCATGCTAATAGGTTGTCTTTATCTACCTTGTCAATTCCTCTGATAATTTTGTAGGTAGTGATCCTGTTTTACCCCTTACTCTTCTGTCTTCTGGGGACAAAGTTTAGCTCCTATAGCCTTTCCTAATAACTAATACATCTCAGTTCTGCGACTAGTCTGGTATCATACCTCTGAATCTTCTCTAACTTTATCTTGTGTTTAACTAGGTATAGACTCCAGGCTGGGGCTGCATACTCCAGGACTGGAATGACGTAAGTGGTATACAAGGTTCTGAACGATTCCTTATTCAAATTTCTAAAGGCAGTTCTTGTGTTGGCCAATCTAGCATATGTCGTCGATGATATACTTTTGATGTGGGCTTCTGGGGAGAGGTTCAGGCGATATCAACTCCAGTTCTTTCTCTCTACTTCACTCTTGCAGGATTTCATCTCCCAGATGGTACCTTGTGTTCAGCCTCCTGCTTCCTTCACCTAATTTCATTACTATTATTTTACTAGTAAGAAGATTACGATTACCAAAGTTAAACTTTAATAGTTATTTTCTACACCATTTCTCCAGTTTGTCCATGTCGGCCGGTCGGCCGAGCGGACAGCACGCTGGACTTGTGGTCCTGGGTTCGATCCCAGGCGCCGGCGAGAAATAATGGGCAGAGTTTCTTTCACCCTATGCCCCTGTTACCTAGCAGTAAAATAGGTACCTGGGTGTTAGTCAGCTGTCACGGGCTGCTTCCTGGGGGTGGAGGCCTGGTCGAGGACCGGGCCGCGGGGACACTAAAGAAGCCCCGAAATCATCTCAAGATAACCTCAAGATAAGATGTCATCCTGTAGTCTCTGTCTACCTTCATCTGGCTTGATTCTTCTCATAATTTTTGCATCAGCAAACATTGAGAGGAATGAGTCTATACCCTCTGGAAGATCGTTTACATATACTGTATTTGGTGATCTTTATTTTAACTCCCTTTGGTTCAATACTATCAGATAACACTCCTAAAATAACAAACATGGCTCTCCAGTGTTCGGCTCTATGATTGTCAGAGACATGCATCAGGTATCCCAATGTTCACCAGATCATTTCTTCGGAACCACTCATTGTTAAGGTCTGATACTAATATGTAAGGTAGCATGGTGTGTTTGGCATGCATCAGTGACATTTTAAATTGATTTGAATATATAGTACAGTCCAGTACCTAGGTTTTGGCATCTGAAGACAAACATGGTAAATTTTGAGACTGGTCTACGAGCACCACCTATTACCCAAAATGTAACTTTTCTAGGTTTTTTTGTTAAGAACTTGAGAACTTAACTTTCATTACAAGTTAAGAACCATGCAGTGAATCATGGAAATATCAATGTTGTAATATTTACAGAGAACAGGCTTCCATAAGATACCTTTCAGATTTTGAATACCTTTATGTTTATTGACTAGTGCCTAGCAATTTTCTGGTTTTGTTCTATGAACTGGTAAAGGTACTAGCCTTTACATTTTTAGTGACAATGTCTGGAGAGTGACTACCATTTAGATGTTGGAAACCAGAGACCATACCTAGGACATATTTTCTTTTGAGAGATGTTCACTGTTACCAAATAGGATAATTATAATACTAATATTACAGTACAGTATCTACTGGTATTTCTTATTTTTTTGAGTAAAAATTAAGTTACTTTACCTCTTAAACATAAATTAATGTTCAATTTGATTATGAGATGATTCTGTAGTAGACGATGCACTTTTAATATACAAAACTATACTGTATCCTCTTGACCATAAAAAAAATTATTTAGTATCTAAAAATACACTTCAATACTGTACTGTACTGTTTCAATTCCCTAAAGAATTAAAACAAAATACAGTATAAAAATATTTTATGGGTAATAATATTAAAAAATACACTTAGCACATAATATGGGTACTCACCATAGGTCCTGTTGTTCCTCCATACACAATTATGTTTAGATGCGGATGGTTGTGTTAAATGAGTTAAGACCCGGAGGTCTTAAGGCCGAGATGGTCGAGATGTTAAGGGTCCAGGTTTTCCGAGGTGGAAAACACAGGTTTCAGTTCAAGCTCTCTTGGCATCATATTAATAAATCTTAAGTTCCAGGTATTGATATCATCTCTTCCTGCCATGATATTTAAAATGCGACAAAGTGCTTCTCCACTTCCATGTTTTCTTGAGCTCTTTGGTCCTCCATATACTCTGAACACTTGCTTAATGGGGTTCTGGGAGTCCTCCTACTCCCCCAAGCCAATACTTCTTGTTTTAATTTGCCTTTTCATCGATTTTCACAAATCCTTTAATGTTAGGCCCTATTCTTATGTACATTAATGTTTCTGGCAAACTCAGTTCTGTAGTTGTCTATGAAGTTCAACATTATTCCCTAGATCCATGGGTTGGATAAGGAATACAAGTGGCAAGAATGCAAGCACAGTGCCTACTGCCCTTGTCAAGTCTAGCTCATCTTCATATGGATGTGATGAGCTGTAATCAGTAAATAACCCCACTTTCCAGTTTGCTGGTAGGCCCACACTTTCAGAATGTTTCCAATCTCAACATACTTCAATTCAGCCTATGCATACCAGCTGCATCACATGTATAACAATGCAAATGCCACATTATAAATTAGTTTTGAATTATCTTGCTGCACAAGCAATCTTAGATTTGGAAAACATACCCCTCTGCACCTTTTGTTTCAGCAAATTGATTTTCCACCCATATTTTATACACTAATGACTTGTTTTTGTGGGCCAATACATAAAATGCCTTCTTAATAAGATGACCCCATCTTTCTCATGTTCTTCCCATGCTAGCTTCCTTATCTATAGATTTTAGATTGATCACCCAGTACCAAAAATCTGACTATCCAAATTTGCTGTTTAAACTGTCTCGTGGGGAGTCCCTCGTTTCTCGATTGCCTCTCATCCAGGTGTTATTTTCCAGTGGGATAAAGTATTTATGGTTATATTATCGTCAATTTGAATGTCTACCATTACACTTCACATCTTTTGGATCACGTTAATGACTCTGGACTTGAATGGTTCTTTACCAACATTACATTTCATTTTTAGTTATTTCTACAGTATCTTGCCTCTAAATTGGCTATCCCTTCAGTAATACTATCATCTTTAGTTAAGCACTTCATATATTTAGTTTGACGGCTGCAATAACATACAGTATCTTATTTATAAACTTTAAATGAAAATTATTGGGATTAAAAAATTGCTAATATAATAACACATTATATTATATTAATATATATATATATATATATATATATATATATATATATATATATATATATATATATATATATATATATATATATATATATATATAATAATCTACTGTTCGAGCTCTTCCGATTTATTCTACTGCTTTTTCAGTTTCCACTTTACAGGTACACTGAGCCCTCTCACCTTGTAAAAGAATGCATTTCTTTCTTCCTCGCTTCTGCCTTCGTTCATTGTTTTTGCAATTTCCAAATTCTTTTTCAATACCTCTCTATCATCTTTAGAGAGGTCCCTCCTCAATTTCCACAGTTTTCCTTCGGGATCTTGCTGTAGCTTCTTGGAGCTCTTGAGCACCATTTCCCTCAGAAAGGGGCTGCTCAGCGTTACTCTTAGGGGGTTATCCTTCCCCTTTTCATATTTACCAATTCTTCTGTAACTAACTACGTTCTCTTTAATGGTAAGACCTTCAACAACACTGATAAGTTTTGCCACGTTCTTTTCCTCCGCTTCCTTCCTTTCCGTCTTTGACGCTATGTCCTTCTCTTTGCATCCAAAGATGATAATCGATTTGGTTCGATCGATTGGATTTTGCACCATGTTTGCGTATGTGGCAAATGCTTTTTCGAGTCGCCACAATCACTTGAGGTGCATTGCTTCCCT